GATATTTTTAACATAAAAAATCAAGAAAATTTTAACAAGAAAAAAGTGCAATTATTCTCACCTGAGATTAAATTCTAATCGAGATATAATCCTCCATTGTTGCCGCAGAGCCCAACTTAACGTGGTGTGACTGAACGAAGAGCCAGAAAAAAACCCTAATTCGACTTCCATTTTGCGAGGAAGAAGAAGAAATTTGGGAATTTTATTTCAAATTTTAGCTAAAATTTTCAATTGGACAAATAAGCCGCCCAAGAGAACTACGGTTTCTTTTATAGAGGGGTTGGTTCGTGGGCCCCACAAGCTGTTACAATGAGCCCACTTTACAAAAGAAACCTCAAGCCAAATAAAATTACAAATGGGAGGTTTTTTGCAAACTTTTTGAGGGGGTTGCAAACTCTAGGCTTTTTTGCAAACTTCCTGGGGTGTTTTTGCAAAGTTTTAGGAGTTTTTTCGCAAACTTCCTGGTGTTTTTTTAGCAAACTGCGGGGGGCTCTTCATAAAGTAGCTGATGAACATATATGACTGCTATTTACCACAACTTTTTAAGGTAACTATTTACTAAAACATTATACAAGTACGCATGCGGTCCCCATTCTTCTTCCACACAAGTGAATTGAGGAAATGAAAGTCCTTAATACAATAGTTATAGCTAGTGTTGCATTCGGTCTGGATACAGCTCGGATATGATGTTTATCATATCCATATCCGCTTACCCATCTTAGATACAGATACAAATATGGATATATCTCGGTAAGGAAAATTCATAACCATATCCGCTAAAATCGGATACGGTTACAAATATACATATGGATATATATGCGGATACAAAACGGATATGAAAAAACTAGATAGTATTGAGAAAAACATAGTTCATATGATATAAAAAAGTTCGTTAATATGTTCATTATAACTGAGAAGTTAAGATTAGACATCTTGATCATCAAAATTAACCACAAATCCATAATCTAAAAATCGAAACTACCGTAAGAGTGACAAATATGTATTCAAATATTTCGGATACGAATACAGATATTTCACTACAAAATCATATCTTTAACCATATCTTATCGGTTATAAATTTGAATAACCATATCCGTACCATTACAGATACGGTTACGGATATTTCCTCGGATAAGGATACAGCTTATCACTTCTAGTTATAGTTGACATGCCCCGAGAATCCTCTGTTTCACTACACAGTTTGTACTCACACTAAAAGCCGCAACCCATACTTTTATCAGAAACTATTTTTTTTAATAAATTTTCAAGTTTGAAAAAGCAAGAGGAGCACGTAGTATCGTCACCAAGTTATCAAACTCCATGCTAATATAAGGAGATACCAGATATGAGCCAAGAATGAGTTATCAAGAGATGATAGAAACAATAAAAGTCGGCATCCTTCAATATAACTCGCAGGGTGAGCCTCACTGGGCTTTCTTTTCCTGGGTGAAAGCACATTGTAAGAGAAAATTTCAGAGCAGCAATTGCTAATGACAGAAGGTAAGGTTCTGGGCATCAAATTAACATATCGACAGATTTCCCTCCTCGTATTACTACGCACATCTTGGAGTGTCTAGCATCAAGGACCATGGCCAATGCCAAAATCTTATCACCACTATTAACCTGATATCCATAAAGAAGGGGAAAACAGAGCTACAACATTCCATTACAACATCGCCAAAGGCAACACAAACATATAGCTAGTCCTGATTCTCATCAATTGCATAATTGAAAATGTTATCCCAAATAATACAAGCCTCAGCTGCATCAGTACCTGAGTCACAGTGAACAAGCGATTGAAGTCCTCACACGACGGACGGACAAAGGATCAAGTGCCGAATTCTGAGAATACACTGTGTTAAGCTGTGTTTTTAACCGCACGGGTATTAACAAGGAAATGATATTGACAAAAGAAAATTTCTACGTATAGGGAACAGACAACAGAATATTTGTGTGTGTTTTCTGACCTTGTAAACAAAATTATGCGACAAAAAATAGAAAAACCATAAGGAAAACCATCAGTACAAAGAAAATCTTAATCATCAGCCATCGGTTGGAGGATATGCTATTCAGGTACTTCAGCAACTGTCCCTGAGCTCCCTCCACATTCGCTAATGTGTCATCCATATTCTCATCAATCCTGTAATATACCAAAAATTTAGATTTGAACAAGTGTTTCAATCATTGTTTTCATGATTATATCAAGCGTTAAAAGATAAATGAAAGCCCAAATGCAAAGGACAAGGTATAAATGATGAGTAAGTTTTATATATAATAGGCATGTGCAGGGAAAAGGGAGTAGCCTAGAAAATCATCACAAACACACAATAGTGTTAGGGTCAAAAGCTTGTTTTTGAGCAAGCATGATCAGTACGCATTAACTTATGGGCATTTTCATCTAGTTTCAAATGGGTACAGACACTTACGGATCCTTTTTTATAAGATTTGCCACAGCAACGTACTTCAATGAATCTAAGCATATTGTATAAGAAATTAAGAAGCTTATACATTTCATACATGCATGATTACAATCACCCCTCATCAGAACAGCCAAATTTATCAAGTATAACACAATTAACGAGTTTCACTTGTTTATACAGCATCACCATCTAACAATTTGAAATACTCTAAAAAGAACATAATGTAAGATGACCAGGATCTTAAACAGTTTACTTACAGGATCCTAAATTGTAAAAGTGAAGGATATAAATAGCAAGAGAAATTTTGATCAAGTTTCAGATCAAGTTAGAAAGGAAAAGATTAGAACCTGATGGCAATCTCTCCTTGCTGGGAAACCATGGTAGCAAGTTGTGTAAAGATGTTGCTCAGTTCATGAATGGTTGATTCAACATTTTGTAGAGCTTCTGCTCTGCTCTGCATGTATGTATCCTGTACTGGAACCATTTGCTGCTGCTGCTGTTGACCCTGCAGCAATGGCTGTGTATCACCATTATTCTTTCTCCTGGCAATTCAAGAAAAATATTAAATTAATCCAACACTCATCACAGTTGGATCTTCATGTCATAGAACTCCTTTTGATGAGTTGGGTACATTAAGAGATATTAACTAGTTTATCAAAAAGCAAGTTGGTCTCTGTATGCAGAGTTGAAGATAGTGTAAAACAAATTCAAATAGTAACAAAATAATACAGCCTTATAGAGTTCGCATTCAAAGAGAACGCACAACATTGTCAAATCTCAATTAAACTAGTTGAACCTAAATAATCTAGCTTTGGAATACAAAAACTGTAGTAGAGGGGTATTGGTGCCTGCACAAACCTACTATGATTAGATTACAGAGGATAACTGGAACAGGAAATTGCAGTGTTTTCTCGTCAGCATGAGTGTAAAACATCTGTTGAGGGTGATATCATGTCAGCACTCTCACAGAATAATAACCAGCATTCACCTTTATTAGCCTCAAAAAATAAAAATGTATCCAATGATCACCTTTTGCTATTATTTTAAATTGTACAGACCTCAAATGGTTACATTTCAATAGAAGAAATGAGTAAAAGCGATTTCCCAAACATCATTTACCTCGAGGGAAACAACTGAGAAGAAGACGAAGAAGCTGAGTCATTTGCCCAGGGTGCTGGAGGTACAGTTGTGTCAGTGGATCCTCTTGAAACCAAAGGGCGCTGTCTAACGAAAGGATTTGTCGCATCTTTTGAAGCAGAAGAAGAAAACAACTGCCTTCTGTTTTCATGAACCTTCAGGTTCTGCAGATTAATTACATATCTGGATCAGCTCTAAAACAGAAGATTTACCACGCTTTACAGATAATATCAACAATGGAGATTAATCAAAATCAGCGGAAGATAGGATATCATATACCTCTGTCCGCATGGTTAGGACTTCTTTGAACTCCTTTGTTGCACTCATCAAACGAGTCTTCAAGTTATCAACCACAGTGGTTGTGTGGCTAGTTGTGTCACTGGATATACCGCCACTTTCATTCTGGGAATTACAGAGAAGTTGCAGGTCTACTACCGCAGAATTTAGAGCTGTAATATCTTGCTTAATGACTGCTGTTAGTTCTTGTATCTCAACCGTGGGATCATCAAAAACTGATGTTCTCTTTGCCACTGCATGAGGTAGACTACCATGTCAAATGGTTACTGATGAATGTCAGAAAAAAAAGAAACTGCTCAATATCTTGACAACTAGCCTCTTGAATTTTAGAACAAACATAATGACATGAAGCACAAGCAATATAACCAAAAGTCTCACCTATTTGGAGAAAAGTTCATTACTGACATACAAATACTATGAGCTGATGATATGAGATTATTATCATGAGATCACACAATAGGTTACTCAAATTAATTACTGGCATACCCAACTCAATTATTGACACCGCTGTCTTAACCTACTTATCAGTTATCATTAAGCCTGTATGCTGAAACATTTAGATAGTTTAGAAGCCTACAACAAATCCATCATAAATTTCATAGGGAACTTCCAGGACGGCTTAAAATTGCCTCAGAAGGGTTGCAAATTACACAATACTATACAAGTAGGTGTGTTGCGTAAAACAAGATAGATGGTTGGTCATTGACTTGAATCTGTTGGAAGATCTCACGATAATAAACTCATCCCAATCTCATTCTATTACTATAATAGATACAAACCATACTTGTGAAAAGCTTTCATGCAATTTGAAAGATGCATGCTCCAAAATTATCTACACATTCTTAATACAGAGGCAGAGCGCATACAACAAGATGCAAACTCAACAATCTACAAAGCAAAGAACATATTCTGTAAAAATTGCCGGGTAAGATAATTAATCATTCAGCAATGTATAAAAAGGATATAGGTCATGGAATTTGAATACTGCATGGACAGCAATACTCCGATAACCACCCATGATATAAGATATAAACACAGCAGTAGGGGGAAAAAACAAAGATACAAACATGAAGTATGAATGTCCAAGAAATCTTGGTGGCCACGTGTCTTCATGTCCACTGGTATGAGTCGTATGACTTAATGAGAAAAATATCCATGTTATGTTTGCACATTCTAAAAATTATATATGCAAAACTTTGCCAAGTCAGCTACTTAATTAATTAGCACATCAGGATGGGGTACTTGGAAAATGCCAAAACAATAACAATTCCATAATATACAAAATCTGGATTACAAATTTTTGTGTATTTCACAGATCAAACAAGGAAAAGAAGGAAAAGAGAAAAAAAAATCTCCAAACATTGTCAACATTCAGTGTGTGTGTGTGAGCGTGCATCTGTGTGTGTGCAGGCACGTGCCAGGGAGAGTGCATGTGGAGAGAGATACATGTGCATGTACATAGATTTAATGTATGAATATATACTTGATGAGACCATCCTACTTTCACCTTATATTCTTGACACATTCATTTTATCAGACAGAATATACCCACCCGATACAAACTAATATCTGATACTTAAAAATTCATATCAATACCTATATCGCTATTTAAACCCTCAACGGCGAGAGCTTCCTTGCTCGGAATTTGGTACCAAAATTAAAAGGATTGACAGCACATGGACAAAAATCCTAAAGCTTAATCAAACCTTCTCTTGAGGTCTAATTTTAAAGGTGTGCTCAGCAACCACTAATTGATGGAAATTTTGTTTATATGATGACGAAACACGGAATAATTGAAAAAGAAATGTTTAGCCAATCATATGACATATCTGGTGTCCTCTTCATAAAAATTATCACTCAGATTCTTTCATTAGTCTCGTGATATCAAAAATGCATCAGTCCTAAAAGCTTATTTAGAAAGAAAATGTAATATATGTTGCAAGTTCCATCTCTAGAGTGATGCAGATATTCTCTATATCTTAAATAAAAGAAAAAAAATAATGGTTTTTTAAGGAAAAAGACAAATGAATACAGTCTACTCTTTTTAATTTTACACTAACATGGGAGAACAGTAACATGGAAATTCCAATATCTAAGGGAAAGTCTCATGTACTACTACTCATGGTCTTGTCATTTTAAAGAAAGATAAAACATACAAACTTCTTGAGACTCACGCTACATTGATTCTCTATCCTCTTCTGCGGAAAACGCGAAACTTTTTTTTGGACAATGATATAACTCAAAAACAGCTACTCAACTATGATCAACATTTGGACCAATCTGGTTACATAGAACTGCAATTTACATGTGTTTCAACTCATGGTTTGAGTCACTGACCTAAATGATGCTGTTTGGTATGTTATCTTATAGTTGAGGAATCCCAATTGGCAATGGAATTTCAACTCATTATCACCTCCAAGAAACTAACTGGTAACTACAACAAGTGAATTCCAGTTCCTAAGCTCGTAAGTAGTCACAGCTTCACCCTAAGTAACGAATGCAAGTGGAACAACATCCGTAGCACATCTATAACTATTTAAATAAGTATTAGGTACTCTGGAGGTTCCTATACGTTCAACCATACGGTAATTGAACTTCAATAGATCCTATAACCTCAACATGAGAAACCAAACTGCATTAATCAGAATCACAGCTCCACGATACTGGATAGTATCGATTTCACGAGTTCAAAATACACATCGAAGTCATCACTAAGTCAAGTTACAACATTACCATAAGAAGCAGATAAACTCAGATTCTGATCACTTATTTATCCCAAATTTTCTCTTGTTTCTGGCCACCTTTCCAAGTTTACTTACGCATCAAACAATGTGCATTTGAGCAAAATATGAGAGAGGTCATATTTCAAAGAAGAATTACTCACTTCAAATTAACCAAGGCAAATAGCAATTTCGACTTACATTTCGCTAGTTTGGAGAGCTTTTGAGAAGTCTGATGGATCCCAAGCCCGATCTTGGAAGCTCTCTTGTTGAATTCCGACTGAATCGAGACCGACGACTTCGTCCCCTCGAATTTCGAAGCAGAGGCGGCGATCTCAGAGTTCTGTTGAGAAGATAACGACTTCTTCAATCTCTCCGTCACCGTCAGAAACTCCTGCGTCCGATCTCGGTAAGACAGCTGCGCCGATCTCGAATGCATCTCGAATTGAGGGTCAAATTTCACGAATTGATTATTCGATCTCGAGATTTAGGAGATGAGAGCGCGAGATCTAGGGCAGGGTGTTGAATGAGGGTTAGGGTTTTAAAAATTGGGGGAATTCGAAGGAAAAGGGATCCATTGAAAGCTCACCTCCGTAATAGAAGAACGAGGAGGGTGTGGAGACGGCGACGGAGACGGCGGCGGGGTTGTCGATGCTCCGGCGAGATTAAAAAACGCGGTTCTATATATCTATCGAAATTTTTCAGGGAGCAAAATGTTATTTATTGACATATCG